TATTGGCATGAATCTTTTGCCCAATTGTAGCTCTTAATAAGGGCTACAAAAAAGGTTATTTAAGACTCCGAGCCCAAGAGCTTCGTTTTCAAGATAATCCGCCTGGAAGCTTTTGCAAAATTTGAGGTAAAATTTCAACTTTGAGCCTCAATATCTCGAGAAGTATTTAAGATATAGAATTGAATCTTATTTTATCTTGAAGATAATTTAATTCTGATTCAGAATATATAATTTTACATTCTATTTGTTACAATAATAACCAAGTAATTAGCAGTTTTGTGAAAGAATGGCAAATTATCGAAATTTTTTGAGCCCAAAAATTGCTAAAATCGTTTTTATTTTTTAACAAGGCTTTAAAACCCTAAAAACAAAGTTGCAAAAATGCTTTTCCACTAATTTTGATCTCCTCCTTTGATTAGTAAAGTCAAAAATTGCAAAATCCAAAAATTTAAAAATTCGAACTTTTCCAAAGGGGTATACATGGAAATTTGATTTCCAAATATTTCAAAGGGCCATATTTTGGAAACCAGTGAAGCTATTGGCATGAATCTTTTGCCTAATTGTAGCTCTTAATAGGGGCTACAAAAAAGGTTATTTAAGATTCCGAGCCCAAGAGCTTCGTTTTCAAGATAATCCGCCTGGAAGCTTTTGCAAAATTTGAGGTTAAATTTCAACTTTGAGCCTCAATATCTTCAGAAGTATTCAAGATATAGGATTGAATCTTATTTTTTCAATCAATTTTGTGAAATATTAGATTCACTCTCATGAAATAGAAAATTCGTTTCTATAATCAATTTGTAAATTAGGTGAAGGTACCAACAGGTATACTTTGAAAACTAACTAAATGTTGAAGAATGAGCTTCATGCTTCAATGATTTCGCGTGCGAAAATAATGACATTCTCACACCAAAATCGAGAAAAACTATTCCAAATTGACAGCTTTTTTATAAGTATACAGATTACGCCAACCAATCATTATCGGTTTGAATGAGGACATTACAAAATAGATTCAATAGTAAATGTGCGGTTTCGAGATTTATCGTCCCGAAATTGTTCGATTCGGATAATTTACGAGTCCGTTTTCGCCGACTGAGAATGAAATTATCATAAAAAATGTCCCGCTCCGATAAAACTCCGCGGCGACATTATAAAATCGGGAATAAATTTTAAAGCATATAGTTGTACAATAAGAGAACGTAAAATCAATTTATTAGAAAGCGTGTACCTACTTCTTATTTGCCATTTATGGCTTGTTGGCACGCTATCATGAATTTTTACTTATACAGTACAATTTCATTTTTCGAATGCGTCATGTACATCCAACTTAGGGCCAGTTTCACAAACAGGATAGGTAATTTTAGCCCAAAACCATTGTCAAGAGGAGTTTTAGTGCTGGTCAGTATATAGTAGCTGTATATGGCAATAAGTCATTTGTTTCTGGGCAGAGGGATTGTAGATCTTCAAAAGGTGACCATAGCAAAAATTGGAATAAGTGGTCGGTATAGGTAAGATACGAGGGTCTTAATTTTTTCCTTCCTCCTGCATCCTGTTATTTAAATTAATAAATAATCAAAATTGGAAATATATCAAATTTTGATTATTCCCGGCTCTTGAATCCCGTCCCGAATTTTGTCTCGAAATCTAGCGAAACATTTCAATTTATAAAACGAAATTCCGGTTCAAAATTGCCTAATTAAAACTAACAAATAATTTTCTGGAAAGTTTTCTCTTGGCACAAAACTAAGTGTAACTTGGAATGGCAACGGTTAATTATGAGCACGAGCGGTAAATTTTAACAAAACATCAAGAAACTTTTACGTTCTTATCCAGAATGATATTTTTATCATAAATAAAACTATTCTGGACTACAATCCGATTACCCATATAATAATTCAGTTGATTGTTAATGACATGTTAGTGTAATTATATATTTAACTTCTGGATAGTTGAAATTATTCGCCAATTTGGAATAATATTGATTCTGTAGGGAAAAGTACCTACGCAAAGAACCACAAATGAAGGATTTTACCCCATACCCTCAGAAACAAATCACATTAAAAAATTCTCCCCCTGAAAAAAAGAAACCGCAAGTCATGACTAGCAAAAGCCAGAGAAACCTTTTAGCCATAGTAATGCCTTCCCCATGAACCGCTAGGAAGCTTTTTTTGCCGGTTTCAACCTGACGTAATATGCCAAATGCAAAAGCACTTTTGGAAACGGGATGACAATGTGATTTGAAAAGAAATGGAATCTATAATTTTGGAGAACAATTCATACGATTTCCTACATAGATTAAAAACTGTTCGTTATTATTCCCTAATTTAGTTCATAATTTTTAAGGCTAAGATACACATTTATTTGTATAATTTTTACCAATTGATTTTGGAAATTGTTCTAATGAATTTTGAAGATTATTTTTGATGCATAAATCAAATTTCTTACCTCAAGTTCAAATTCCCGTCATCAATAAATATAACTCCTAAGTCGTATTTACAAAATATACAAAACAAGCACAAGTAGCACACGAAAAATCCTTTGATTTTTTTTTTGAAATTCTCGTTTGATCAATCGCGAATTACGGTTGCAGATTGGCGTCGCGGCGCCCTCACTTTACGACAACCCTCTGAACAGTGAGGCGGTGAGCGTCGCGACGCCGAGCGATTTTTAGCCCCCCTCTGCCCTCGTAGTGCGCCTAGGGAAAAAGGGGAACGGCAGAGGCGTCTTACTACTTTACCTGATGTGATTTTTTATTTTCAATGTGAAATGGTTTCAGGGGGGTTGAAAGGCGAAAGAGGTTGATCAAAAATGATGACGTAGTTTGTGCGCATACACTAATCAGAGGTTCAATGGTTGAAATTTATGCGCAAGACCATATACCTAAGACGTTTCCATGCAATCGTCAAGATTTTGTAAATTGAAAAATTGATAAATCACCCAAAATTGCTTAACACAATTTTATCTCAGGAACTATAAGTGCCAATGGGATGAAATTCAGTGAAAGTGTCAGCTTTCTATCTATAATAGACAAAAAGTTATGACCTTTCAAAGTTTTCCAAAATCTAAATCATAAGGTAGGTAGGTACCTTCTGACTAAAACGATGAAATTTCAAAATTTTTTTTGTCGAGATTTTGTCTCCTAATGGTCAATCAACATACCCCAAACTCCATACACAAAATTATTCCCAGATTTGAAGCCGAAATCTATGAAAAAAGGCACTCAGAAAAATTGAAAAATTGATAAATCACCCCAAATTGCTTAACACGATTTTATCTCAGGAACTATAAGTGCAAATGAGCTGAATTTTTCAGGGATTCTAGTCCTTTGAAAGGGATGAATTTCAGTGAAAGTTTCAGCTTTCTATCTATAATAGAAAAAAAGTTATGACCTTTCAAAGTTTTCCAAAATCTAAATCATAAGGTAGGTACCTTCTTACTAAAATGATGAAATTTCAAATTTTTTTTGTCGATATTTTGTATCCTAATGGTCAATCAACATACCCCAAACTCCATACACAAAATTATTCTCAGATTTGAAGCCGAAATCTATGAAAAAAGGCACTCAGAAAAATTGAAAAATTGATAAATCACCCCAAATTGCTTAACACGATTTTATCTCAGGAACTGTAAGTGCAAATGAGCTGAAATTTTCAGGGATTGTAGTCCTTTGAAAGGGATAAAATTCAGTGAAAGTTTCAGTTTTCTATCTATGATAGAAAAAAAGTTATGACTTTTCAAAATTTTCCAAAATCTAAATCATAAGGTAGGTAGGTACCTTCTTACTAAAATGATGAAATTTCAAATTTTTTTTTGTCGATATTTTGTATCCTAATGGTCAATCAATATACCCCAAACTCCATACACTAAATTATTCTCAGATTTGAAGCCAAAATCTATGAAAAAAGGCACTCAGAAAAATTGAAAAATTGATAAATCACCCCAAATTGCTTAACACGATTTTATCTCAGGAACTATAAGTGCAAATGAGCTGAAATTTTCAGGGATTGTAGTCCTTTGAAAGGGATAAAATTCAGTGAAAGTTTCAGCTTTCTATCTATAATAGAAAAAAAGTTATGACCTTTCAAAGTTTTCCAAAATCAAAATCATAAGGTAGGTACCTTCTTACTAAAATGATGAAATTTCAAATTTTTTTTTGTCGAGATTTTCTATCCTAATGGTCAATCAACATACCCCAAACTCCATACACTAAATTATTCTCAGATTTGAAGCCAAAATCTATGAAAAAAGGCACTCAGAAAAATTGAAAAATTGATAAATCACCCCAAATTGCTTAACACGATTTTATCTCAGGAACTGTAAGTGCAAATGAGCTGAAATTTTCAGGGATTGTAGTCCTTTGAAAGGGATAAAATTCAGTGAAAGTTTCAGCTTTCTATCTATAATAGAAAAAAAGTTATGACCTTCCAAACTTTTTCAAAATATAAATCATAAGAGCAGCACTCGCAAGTAAGTACTGGAATTCAGGACAGTGAAACAAAATAAAATGTAAAATAACTGTATTAAAAAACATAATAAAAAGTAAAATATTATGGCAATATTATATGTATATAACCTACCACCTTAAATATAATATTTTATATAATAATAAATAAGAAAATCACTGTATAATAATATAAATAATAATATAGTATATTTGAGCAGTACATTATTTGGTTTTGATTTTTTCCTAAATAAATTAGTATTTGATAATAAGAGAGAAAAGTTTCTAATGTACTTAACTGATATGAGTAATAGAGAGAGAATTATATTTGAGAATGTATTATTGTCAATAATTATCAACTAATTAATATTTTTCTTGGTTTCAACTTAAGACTAGATTTAACTAATAATTTTTTTTTTTGATATGACGCTATCAATTTCGAAGTCAGGTCAGAGGTTCAAAAAGAACTTCTATGGGTTTATCCCATTGTCATTTTGTCAAATAAAACCTAAATTCACTGGTAAATTCATAGCTACCTAAATTCCATATTATCTAAACCCAATCACTGTTGCTTGCAACCTCCCTCCTTAGACTTCTTCTTCTTTTTCTCCAACGACGCAGTCCTCCTTTGCCCTTGTATGGGCATATAAGGGGGCGCAGGACTAAATAAACCATTTATAAACACTGACAAAAAAAAAAACACTCATACTCTCACCTATCGTCATCGTTTTCGTCCAGTTCTGGTGGTGGAAGCACTAAACCGGGACTGCTGCTGGATGTACTTGTAGTGACAGTACTGGAAGTTGTGTCGTAGCTAGATGGAGGCCTATAACCCCCACCGCGTCTTGGATAAGTGGGGTCTATGGCCATCGCTATGTTGGAGAGCATCGGAGATGTCCCCCCTGTTTTATGGTTATTTGTTTAACAAGTCTTATTAACCAACCAGTGCAAAATTTACTTAAGTAGGTGCAAGATGGAAGTTTGTTAATATACACTAACCCAAAAAGCACTTTCCACAAACGATTAAAACACGAAATTTTTACTACATTAACATGCAACCACAAACAATTAGAATTCAAATTCTTACCTGATAAGCTCCCTCCACTGCTAGTAGTATTAACTGCATCGCTATTCTCTGGATCTGGCATTCTAGGTTTATTAAACCTGGTCAAAGGCGACTTGAGTTCCAAATGAGTAGGCCTACTAATTTTTTCGGGAGTCTTCTTAGGGCTAAAACCAGTTGCCTGATCTACAACAAGCATATCAGCTGGAAGACTATAACTGATGTCTTCTTCGTCCGGATTAGGTATATTGTATATATCTGGCACGGCTGATATGTTTTTTGGAACACTGGAAATTGGTTGAGTGATTAAATCTGCTGGCAAAGCATAAGAATCATCGGGCATTATTTGTCCTTGTTTTTTGGCTAGAGCTTTTTGTTTGGCCCGCTCTTTGGCCCTTTTAGCTTTGGCTCTTTCTCGTTCTTGTAGCAATTTGGCTAGCTCCTTGTCTTGGGCTTCGATGGCCAACATTCTGTCTCTGTTTAGAATCGTGTCTTCGATGTTGCCTTCTTCTTCTTGCAACTTGCGCGCCAACTCTGCGTCTCTTTCTTCCTGGATTTGTCTCAGCTTGAGATCGTCCAAAGGGATTCCTAGTTCGTTTGAGGGCTTGTAAGGCTCAGTATATAATTCGATGTTGGCGGAATCTGAAGCTGGTAATCTGGTGATGGAGTTTTCGTTGGGTAAAGGCATTGGTTGTGCTTGTCTTTTTGGTAATTGGGGTGGTAGGTTGGCTTGGTAGTTGAAAGGGTTTGGTCTGTGGGGTGATTGTTCTTTAGGCATTCGTGGTGGCAGTGGCAGGACTGGTTTGCTTGGCGATAATTGCTGTGGCAGTGGCGGCGGTGGCAGCATTTGTTGGTGTTTTTCAACCTAAATATTACGTGTGAAACTTTTGGAATAAAAAGAGGAGAATTAGGAGCTCATTATATCAAAATATCAGAAGTTTCCAATTAAAAACATCAACAAGAGGAATTAATGGAAATCAACTTATGCAAAAATGCATTCTGTTACATTTTGTTATTTTACTAGGGGTAAACCCGAGGGGTGTCTCACGGTCGGAAATAGGTGTACAAATCTCAAAATAATTTTCAGAAATGTTGAGAAATTCCCTGTAAATTGTCACAAATTATGTTAATTCTCAAAAATTATAGGAAATATTTGGAAATTTTGGGAAATGTCAAGAACTGTTAGGAAATTATGCGAAATATTGGGAAATTTTTTGAAATTATAAAAAATTTACTGAAATTATTAAAGGACATTTTCACCAGAAATCTTTGAGAATTTTTGTGTTTCGAATATTGTTTAGTTGCTGTTCAGTATTTTGTGAATAAAAATACCTAACTGCTAACAAAATAAAGATAAGTAAGTAGGTACGTACCTATGTATAAACACATCTCATAAACTATAGAAGTTTTTCTATTGGAAAAAATATAAAATTTTGGGAAAATGAGCTCCTAACGTTCCTCATTACTTAAATGCAGAAAGTTTCAAATTTTTCCCTGTCGGTACTAGTTTTCCACAAAAACTGTGAAATAGGTGAGACTAGCTATTCTCAGTTATTGTTTCCTAGTTGATTTTCAATATTTTGCATGTTATTTTCCACTGAAAAATTTGAAATTTTGGGAAAATGAGCTCCCAACTTGCCTCTTCATATGCAAAAAGTTCCAAAATTTTACCTCTATCGATTTTTCAGGAAAACTTTGAAATGTGTAAGACTGTATTTTCAAATAATTTAGTTATTTTAAGTTAATTTTCAAGATTTCTTATGTTGTTATTTTCCGAGTTATTTTCCACTGGAAAAATTTATAAATTTTGGAAAAATGAGCTCCTAATCTTCCTCTTTACCTACATGTCAGTTTCAAATTTGTCCTTTTATCAGTCTTGAGGGAAAACTTTGAAATGTGTGACACTGTATTTTTTAATAATTCAGTTTTTGTAAGCTGATTTCCAAGATTTTTCATGTTGTTATTTTTCTTTTGCAAATATTTGAAATTTTAGGAAAATGAACCTCTAACCTTCCTCTTTACATGCAAAAATTTTTGCCTTCAGTAGTTTTCCAGGAAAACTTTGAATTGTGTGAGACTGACTTTCAATTTAAATTCAGTTTTTGTAAGCTGATTTCCAAGATTCGTCATGTTGTTATTTTCCAATGGAAAAATTTGAAATTTTGGGAAAATGAGCTCCTAATTTTCTTCTTCACATGCAGAAAATTTCAAATTTTACCCTTCACTAGTTTTCAAGGAAAACTTTTAAATGTGTGAGACTGGTATTTTCAAATAACTTAGTTTTTGTAGGCTGATTCCCAAGATTCTTCATGTTATTATTTTCAACTGGGAAAATTTGAAATTATGGGAAAATGAGCACCTAACCTTCTTCTTTACATGCAAAAAGTTTCAACATTTTTCCTTAATTAGTTTTCCAGGAAAACTTTGAAATGTGTGAAATTGTATTTTCAATTACTTAATTAAGTTTTTCTAAGTTGATTTTCAAGATTTTTCATGTTATTTATTCCTGGAAAAATTTGAAATTTTGGGAAAATGACCTCCTAACCTTCCTCTTCACATGCAAAAAGTTTCAATCATTGCCTCAATTTGTTTTTCAGGAAAACTTTGAACTGTGTAACACTGTATTTTCTAAGAAAAATTAAAAAATTGATAAATCACCCCAAATTGCTTAACACGATTTTATCTCAGGAACTATAAGTGCAAATGAGCTGAAATTTTCAGGGATTGTAGTCCTTTGAAAGGGAAAAAATTCAGAGAAAGTTTCAGCTTTCTATCTATAATAGAAAAAAAGTTATGACTTTTCAAAGTTTTCTAAAATCTAAATCATAAGGTAGGTAACTTCTTACTAAAACGATGAAATTTCAAATTCTTTTTTGTCAAGATTTTGTATCCTAATGGTCAATTAACATACCCCAAACTCTATACACAAAATTATTCTCAGATTTGAAGCCGAAATCTAGGAAAAAAGGCACTCAGAAAAATTGAAAAATGGATAAATCACCCTAAATTGCTTAACACGATTTTATCTCAGGAAGTATAAGTGCAAATGAGCTGAATTTTTCAGGGATTATAGTCCTTTGAAAACGATAAAATTCAGTGAAAGATTCAGCTTTCTATATATAATAGCAAAAAAGTTAGGATCTTTCAAAGTTTTCCAAAATCTAAATCATAAGGTAGGTACCTTCTTACTAAAACGATGAAATTTCACCCCAAATTGCTTAACACAATTTTCAGGGATTGTAGTCCTTTGAAAGGGAAAAAATTCAGTGAAAGTTTCAGCTTTCTATCTATAACAGAAAAAAAGTTATGACCGAGGGGTTAACCACTTCTCGAAATACGTGTACACTCGACCTGAATTATCTGCAAAATACTTTGAAGTACCTAGAAATACCACGAAGTACATCGAAATACCAATAATTTCTGTCGAGGTTCGTTAAATCCCATGGAAATACCCTCGAATTACCGCTTGAAGTCCAGAAATACTAAAAAATTCTCGTTGATAGCGAGTCTTCTTGTGGATTTTTGTCTTTCAATATGATAGATTCTATTCGGAGGCACACAGGATTCAGACAATTAAATCCTCGATTAAATGCAGTTAAATGTTCTATAAGGCTGTTAGATTCCTACTACTTATTAACTCACTGACATTGATTATTTAAACATATCAGGAATATCTTTCCACTTGTTTCAAATAATTTACAGTAAATCCAAATTCTGTTTAGCCTATTCAAAGATGGACTATAATTTCCATTCTACAATATTATTGCAATTTGCAAAAAAAAAATATATCTAAATAGCTCGAAATACCTCGGGTCACCGCGAAATACTTCGAATTACCCCGAAATAAAATAAATATCCTCGAAATACCACGATATCCTTCGAAGTACTACGCAATACTACAAAAAACTAGGTACGAATTACCACCGAAATCATCACCAAATCACTTGGAATTTCCCGAAGTACTAGCGAAGTACCGACATTTTGGCAATACGTGTACATATTTTTACAGAGTGGTTGACCCTCGGTTATGACCTTTCAAAGTTGCACAAGTGATTTTTGTGGATTTTAATAATTTTTTTGCATGCAATAATGTGAGAAAAGGCTTCTAAATATAGTTTGGAATTTCAAATTAACTTTTCCACCAAGAGGAAACTTCAATTCATAAATCCTAAAAGTTTCATGATCATTAGAAGTACTTTGTACAAGTCACTTTTGCAGATTTTAATCATTTTTGCATGCATTAACTCATTATTTCAAAAACTACTCATTTTTATATCAGAACGATTTATTTAGGAGTTAATTGCTGCAGTTGAAAAGTGAGTAGAACTCAATTTATTCATGAAATGTACTTTCTACTCATTAGTCTAATATTTTATTTATTTTAAGTGGTATTCAAGTAGGATTTTGTTGAAAGGTCTGTTTCTACAGAAATCACAAATCAGTCAGAGCGTTTTTGATTGGTCCAAATCGCCAACAACCAGTTTCCTGACTATTTTCAACCAATGAAATTTGCTCTGAGTAATTTGTGATTTTTGTGGAGGCAGACCTTAAAGTGGTATTCTGGTGTATGTATTTTTTCAAGGTGGTTTACCCCTTGTAGAAAACTAATGAAGAGCAAATTGTGGAACTTTTGGGACAAAAAGAGGAATATTATTATTTGCTCATCATATTAAAAGTTTCTACTTAGTTGAAAACAGTAATAAGAGAAATTTATGAAGATCCCAAATTATCAAAAAGGCAACTTTTTACATTTTATTTTTTTTCTAGAAAATTAGTAAAAGGAAAATTGTCAAACTTTTGGGACAAAAGGAGGGAAATTGGGAGCTCATTTTGTTGAAATTTCAAAAGTTTCTAGTTGAAAAACTAATGAAGGGAGAATTGTGAAACTTTTGAAAGAAAAAGAGAAGTAGGAGTTTATCATATTGAAATTTCAAAAGCTAGAAACTTTTGAAAACAATATCATAAAAATAAACATCTCACATGAAAAGAATGCTAAATAGTTTTTGATATTTTTACCATTCTCTTCATGTAGGGTAGGGGATTCCCTTATATTGTGAATACAAAATCTTTGTTAGGTAGGTATATTGTATATAGGCAATAATAGGTATAGGATCAAACTCCATAAAATTATTTATTTTTAAAAAATTGAGAAATCATACCTTAATCCTCTCTCTTTCCAGCATTTGCCTGGCAATATCCTGATCTCTCATTTCAACCACTCGCTTCTTCATCTTTTCTTCTCTCTCTAGCTTCTCAGCCAAATCCTGAGCCACCTTTTGGTCGTGCTCCTCTTGCTCTTGCAACATCCTCTGGTAGATTGCTGCAGCCTGTTCAGCCATTTCCTGCTCTTTGAGCTGCTCGTTTTTGGCCCTGGGAAAATCTTCGCGTACCAGCGCATTCCTGGACCGATTCCCTGACAAATGGTCGGTGAATTCTTGATTTTGTAGCCGGTAAGCCAAAGCTGAATCTTCACGTACCATCCATTCCTGAATTATAATTTGTTATATTTAATAATTATTTACATGCTAATTGCTCGGTACCTACCTGGCAAACTTCAGTGACCCTTCCTGTCCTAGGGACAGTTTCTTCAGGGGGGTATTTGGTATTGGACATTATTTTTACGAAAAACTAAAAGGCACTACATATAAAACAACCGTTAGTTGTTGGACTGTGTGAAAATAATTGGGAAAAAATTGCATTTCCTTTCTTTTATGTTAAAAAGGAAATTCTTTGAAGAAAAAGGACCGGCCTTGTGAGCTAGACAAAGATAGGTAACAAATAAACAAACAAAACGGGTGACAGTTCACAACGCTAACTTCACTCTTGCTATGAGATGTCAAAGAAATTTATATTGTTATCTCACTTTTAATTGTGAACTAGAAAAAGATGGCTAACAAATAAAAGAACTTATCGTTAACTTAACCTCACTTTTGTTGCCACAGCTGTCAAAAAATCATTTGCAACATTTCTCTAATATAAACAATTTTTATTTAAATAATAAAAATCCCAACACTTTTGGACTTTGGAAACCAAACGTACAATTACTCGGCAAAATTCCAGGTGAGCATACAAAGCCCCAACAAAAATCATTTAAAAAAAAATTCCAATTTCTTTCCAGCTATGCAACATTGTATATTATAAAAATTTAAACAAAAATATCTATTAAAATGACTAGTAAACCTGCTAAAAGAAAAGGTATTCACGCAACTAAATTGAATTTTCGACCCCCCACAAGTGATATAAACGTTGAATTCAAAGGAACAAAACCTACTAGTGAGCCAACATCTATAAAGGAAATTTTCATCCTCATGGTGCTCTACCTTTGCAAAAAATCCCTTTTTTTCGACACCAACATAAAAGTAGCCATATATCTTGCCTGTTTGTTCCTGATATCCCTTATAGCTGATGTAGGAACAGTCCCCAAAACATATTTATCCAGATCTGACAACATTTTCAACAAATATTTTGTTAAATTTGCCTGGGGCTGGAACTTATTAATCATCATGCCATTTTTAATTCTTACTTCATATATTTACTGCTGTGGTCAAATCAAACGCATAATGCAACATCATTTCCCTAGAATAGTAATTGCAACCTTTTTTTGGTACTTTTGGACTAATGTCTTCAATTACATTGAGGCTGGTTATGGCAAATGTCAAATCAAACAATACTCTTCTAAAGGGACTTGCCTTAAAGCTGGACACATTTGGAATGGTTTTGATACTTCTGGACACTCATTTATATTGATTTATGGCAGTCTTATGCTAATTGAAGAAACTAGATCAATGATCAATTGGGACAGTATCAAGGAATATTTGAGATTAGAGGAGCACAATAGAAGTACTCAACAAAGCGAGCAAAGCAATCCTTTGAGGAATTTAAGTGCAGAGGATTTCAAAAAACTACAAGTCAACTATGAAAAATACACTCCCTACATCAGATGCTTGTTTGTTGTAATAACAATATTTCAAATATTATGGGATGTAATGCTAATTTGCACTATTTTGTATTATCATGTAATGGTTGAGAAGTTTTTGGGTGGTTGTGTGGCTATTTTAACTTGGTTTTTCACTTACCGAGTTTGGTATGCGCATCCTAAGTTGCTGCCAAAACTGCCTGGGGAAGGGATGTTTAGGTATGTTAAAAAAGCTGCTAAGGAACCAGTGGTTCAAAGGAGACGTACTGGAAGTATTGTTAATGGTAATGTTGGGCCCATGTTTATGGGGAGGCCTATTTATAATCAACAACCGGCGTCAAATGGTCAAGCTGAGGAGGAAACTAGATAGCTATTTTAAGTTTTGTTATTGACTTTTTTTTATTTATTTATTTTGTTGTGTTAATGTTTGTTTTTTTCTTTTATTCGGTCTAAGAACAAATTAATGAAGTATTGAGGGGAATTTAATATTTACTTGAATAATTGTAAATAATTATTATGTATTTGGGTGCCTGGATAGGTAAAGATATCTTTGAATAATAATGCAATTTATACAAATTATTGTTTTATCAGTGTTATTTGTTGTAAATAGTGTTGCGTTTTGAGAAAATACTTTCATATTGCGATGTTTATATTTTCAAATGTTCAAATATCAAAACTGCTATCTTTATTTCTCAAACTATTATAAGATATTTTTATACTTAAGGGATGTTTTGGAAATAAAACATTTTTTTTTTTTTCAAATATCGTTAATTTTTTCAACAATTATACAAATAACAATATTCTTATAACAAATTTCTAAACAATGGTTGATGAGACTGGTTTCTTCAAAAAATATCAAAATATAAAATACTTGACTTTTTTTGGAAGTTGATTTTTCTAGAATTTCTTCTGTCATTATTTTTCACTGGATCAATTTGAAATTCTAGTATTATGAGCTCCTAACCTTCTTCTTTGTACGCCATAAGTTTCCACGTTTTGCCCCCACTGGTTTTTCCAAAAAACATCAAAGTGTGACAGACTGCATTTTCATTATTTGATTATTTAGAAGTTGATTTTCTTCTGTAATGGACTGGATACTGGATTCATTTAAAATTTTAGTACAATGAGCTTCTAAGCTTCCTCTTTTTACCCCAAAAGTTTCGCAATTTTCCCTTCATTAGTTTTATAGAAAAATAATAAAATGTAGCAGGTTGCATTTTTGCATAGTTTGGGTTTTTGAAGTGGGTTTTCATGAATTTCTCTTATTGCTGTTACCAACCGGAAATTTTTAAAATTATAATATGATGAGCTCCTAATTTTTCTCTTTTTGTCCCAAAAGTTTCACTATTTTCCTTTCACTAGTTTTGGAGTAAGATAATGAAAATGAAATGTAAGCAGGTGCATTTTTGCTTAATTTTGGTTTTTGAAGTTGATTTTCATGAATTTCTTTTGTTGCTGTTTCCAACTGGAAACTTTTGAAATTTTAATATGATGAGCTCCTAGTTCTTCTCTTGTGTCCTAAAAGTTTCACAATTTTTCATTAATTAGTTTTCTAGAAAAATAATGAAATTAGGAGAGTGCATTTTTGCTTAATTTGGGTTTTTAAAGTTGATTTTTGTGAATTTCTCTTTTTGCTGTTTTTAATTGGAAAATTTTGAAACTTGAATACGATGAGCTCCTAGTTTTCCTCTTTTTGTTCCAAAAGTTTCACAATTTTCCTTTTGTTAGTTTTCTAGAAGTATAATGAAATGTAAGAAGGCACATTTTTGCCTAATTTGGTTTTTAAAGTTGATATTTATGAATTTCTTTTATTGCTGTTTCCAACTAGAAAGTTTTGAAATTTCAATGTCATGAGCTTCTAGTTTTCTTCTTTTCCTTCCAAAAATCTCACAATTTTTCCTTCATTAGTTTTCTAGAAGTATAATGAAATGTAAGAGGGTGCATTTTTGCCTAATTTGGGTTTTTAAAGTTGATTTTCCTGAATTTCTCTTGTTGCTGTTTTTAATTGGAAACTCGAAATTTTTAAACGTATCCTAGTTTTCCTCTTTTTTTACCAAAAGTTTCACAATTTTCTCTTTATTAGTTTCCTAGAAAAATAATAAAATGTAAGAGGTTGCATTTTTGCATAGTTTGGGTTTTTGAAGTTGATTTCCGTGAATTTTCCTTGTTGCTGTTTCCAACTGGAAATTTTTGAAATTGAACTCCTAATTTTTCTCTTTTTTTCCCAAAAGTTTCACAATTTTCCTTTCACTAGTTTTCTAGTAAAATAATGAAATGTAAGAGGGTGCATTTTTGCTTAATTTTGGTTTTTGAAGTTGATTTTCATGAATTTCTTTTGTTGCTGTTTCCAACTGGAAACTTTTGAAATTTTAATATGATGAGCTCCTAGTTCTTCTCTTTGTGTCCTAGAAGTTTCACAATTTTCCATTAATTATTTTTCTGGAAAAATAATGAAATTAGGAGAGTGCATTTTTGCTTAATTGGGGTTTTTAAAGTTAATTTTTGTGAATTTCTCTTGTTGCTGTTTTTAATTGGAAAATTTTGAAACTTGAATACGATGAGCTCCTAGTTTTCCATTTTTTGTTCCAAAAGTTTCACAATTTTCCTTTTATTAGTTTTCTAGAAGTATAATGAAATGTAAGAAGGCACATTTTTGCCTAATTTGGTTTTTAAAGTTGATATTCATGAATTTCTTTTATTGCTGTTTCCAACTAGAAAGTTTTGAAATTTCAATGTCATGAGCTTCTAGTTTTCTTCTTTTCCTTCCAAAAATCTCACAATTTTTCCTTCATTAGTTTTCTAGAAGTATAATGAAATGTAAGAGGGTGTATTTTTGCCTAATTTGGGTTTTTAAAGTTGATTTTCCTGAATTTCTCTTGTTGCTGTTTTAAATTGGAAACTCGAAATTTTTAAACGCATCTTAGTTTTCCTCTTTTTTCCCCAAAAGTTTCACAATTTTCTCTTTATTAGTTTCCTAGAAAAATAATAAAATGTGAGAGGTTGCATTTTTGCATAGTTTGGGTTTTTGAAGTTGATTTCCGTGAATTTTCCTTGTTGCTGCTTCCAACTGAAATTTTTGAAATTGAGCTCCTAATTTTTCTCTTTTTTTCCCAAAAGTTTCACAATTTTCCTTTCACTAGTTTTCTAGTAAAATAATGAAATGTAAGAGGGTGCATTTTTTGATAATTTTGGTTTTTAAAGTTGTTTTTCATGAATTTCTTTTGTTGCTGTTTCCAACTGGAAACTTTTGAAATTTTAATATGATGAGCTGCTAGTTTTCCTCTTGACGTCCTAAAAGTTTCATAATTTTCCATTAATTAGTTTTCTAGGAAAATAATCAGGGAGCATTTTTGCCTAATTTGGGTTTTCAAAGTTGATTTTCGTAAATTTCTCTTGTTGCTGTTTTTAATTGGAAACTTGTGAAATTTTATTACGATGAACTCCTAGTTTTCCTCTTTTTTTCTCAAAAGTTTCACAATTCTCCCTTTATTGCGGTTTCCTAGAAATATAATGAAATGTGAGAGGATGGATTTTTGCCTAACTTAGGTTTTTAAACTTGCTATTTCCTACCGGAAACTTCAAGGGGTGGTTAACTGGTCAAAATCCGTGTACAAGTTGGTCAAAATCACAGAAAATCTTTAAAGATCTACTGAAAATCCCTAAAAATCTTTAAAATCTTTAAAGATTTAACAAAATCCCACAAAATCTCTTGAAATTGTATAGAATCCTACAAAATCTAACAAAGTTTCATTAAAACCAAAAAAATCCTGCAAAATCTGATAAAATCATTAACATTCCTAAAAAATATTTCCTGTGAAATTCCCAAAAATTCTTTGGAATCCCCAAAAATGTGTTAAAGTCTCTCAGAATTCTGTAATTTAGTGGAATTTCGGTAGAATTATGTTATTCTGAAAAAGGAATTACATGTAAATTTTTTACGGAGTATATATAGAATTCACATTAAATTTTAGTTCCTCTCGAATTACATGAAATTACATCGAAATTCCCACCATGAAATTTCAATTCTTACTGAATTTTAGTAGAATTCCAGAAAATTCCACAAGTGGAATGCCGAGGAATTTTCGGCTAAAAACATGGAATTTCGATAATATTCCGAAAAATACCCATGTAATGACATGAAATTTCAATGAATTTTCAAGGAAATAACTTGAAGTTTCATTTAAATTCACAAAAATTCTTGGCTATTAAAAGAGAATTTCAGTGAAATTCCGAATAATTCTTATGAAAATACATGAAATTTTGAAAAATTCCTTGAAGTCTCATTGGACTTTCGAGAAATCTTAGGCTATGATCGTGGAATTTCCAAATATTCTCATCAAATTTTAGTGAATTCCGAGGAATTTTTGAGAAATTACATAAATGTTAATGAAATTCCGAAAAATTTTATGAAAATTTTGTGGAGTTCTAGGATATTTCAGTGGTGAAATTTTGAGGAATTTCAGTAGAAAGTTAAAAAAAAAAATATGAAATTTTAATGGAATTTTGAAATTGAAATTTTAGTGGAAAGTATTATGAAATCTTATAGTAAAATTTCTAGGAATTTACGTTTTTCCATTCAAATTTATCACTTGAATGGAATTTCGAGGAATTCTATGAAATCTTCTGGTTAAATTCTAAGGAATTTCTATGGAATTGACTAAAATTTTCGTGGAATTCCAATGGAATAACTTAAAATTTTAGTGAGATTCCGAAGAATTTCATTAAATCTTATAGGTATTGTAATTCCGAAGAAAAAAAAAAACTCTAAGAATTCCATTGAATTTTATGGTGTGAAATGTGAAATTTTTGCGAAGTTTCCATAAAATTCACTTTAAATTTTAGTTCTTCTCGAATTACATGAAATTTCAGTGGAATTTCGATTGAATTACAGAAAATCCTGAATGAGTTGCATGGAGGAATTCTAAAGAATTATATTGAATTACATCGAAATTCCCAACATGAAATTTCAGTGCTCGTTAAGTAAATTACATAAAGAATTTTGAAAAAGTTTCAAAAAATTACATAATTTCCGAGGAATTTTCGTTGAATTATATGGAGCTACCATGAAATTCCAAGGAATTATCAGGGAGTTACATGAAATTTAAATGGAATTTTGAACAACTCTTATCGTTTCATAAGGAATTGCAGTAAAATTCCGAAAAATCCTATTGTAATTGTAATTACACGAAGTTTTATTTTTATTCCAAGGAATTCCTAGTTAAAAACATGGAATTTTAGTGAAATTGAAATTCCGAAAAATTCCCATCGAATTACTGAGTTTTAGTAAAATTAGAGAAAATTTCACAAGTTGAATTCCGAAGAATTTCCAACTAAAAATTTGGAATTTCGGTGAATTTTCAAGAAATTACTTGAAGTTTCATTAATATTCCTAGAAATCCCTGACTATTGAAAGAGAATTTCAGTGAAATTTCAAAAAATTCTCATAAAATTTCAGTGAAATTCCTAGGAACTTCTAAGATATTACAGGAAATGTCAGTGAAATTTCGAAAAATTTCATGAGAATTTTGTCAGTTAGGATCCCCAAAAATTCGTTAAAATCTCTAAAAATCTTGTAGAATCTAAAAACCTTGCTAACTTCCCTAAAATGAATCACCTGAAATCTTTTAAAATCCTGTAAAATCATATGAAGATTTTCAAAATCCTCAAAATCCCACAAAATCAATGAAGATTTAAAATCTGTGTACATATTTTGAGGAGTTAACCACCCCTCGGGAAACTTTTGGAACTCTGATATGACGAGCTCATTGAGCTCCTGGTTTTCCTCTTTTTGTTCCAAAACTTTCACAATTTTCCTTTCATTATTAATTTTCTAGAAAAATAATAAAATGTAGAAGGTGGTGCATTTTTGCCTAATTTGGTATTTAAAGTTGATTTTGATGAATTTCTCTTGTTGCTGTTTTTAATTGGAAATTTTTGAAATTTTAATACGACGAGCTCCTTATTTTCCCTTTTTTTCTCCTGAAAGTTTCACATTTTTTCATTGAATTGAATAATAATAATTTGTAAGGGTGCATACATTTTCTTGTTGCTGCATAAATGTTCATTTATTATCAAAAATTCAACCCTTATCCCTAAGATATTTTTAATACAAGGATGTTTTGGAAATAAAACATTTTGAAATTTATTTTTTACAATCTAGACTGCATTCCACCAGCTACAACAATATTTTCTCCTGTAACATAAGAACCATCATCTGAAGCCAAAAAAGCTGCTGACCCACTAACATCATGAGGCTTCCCAAATCTAAACAAATTAAACTAAGAAATTGTACATTTTTATTTATACAAACATAGATACCTTCCCATAGGGATTTGTGATAAACCAGCTTCCTTAGCGCCTTCATCTTTGGTCAACTAAATTAAAAAACATGAAATTATAAAATGTCTAAGCCCTAAATTTAAACTTACAAAGTTTGAAAATTTTGTTTCAATAATTCCAGGACAAATTGAGTTAACTGTAATATTTTCAGGGGCTAGTTGAACTGCTGCTGCTTTTACCAATCCTAAAAGGCTAGTTTTGCTTACAGAATAAGCACCCAAAAGCTATAGATAATTATTGTAAATTTAGGAAAAAATTCTAAGTAATTAGATTCTTACAGAAAATGGTTGAAATCCTGCAATTGAAGAAACAAAAATGATTCTGCCAGCTTTACTTTCCCTTAATAAAGGCAGAGCTTCTTTGGCTAACATAAATGAGGCTTTTACGTTTGTATCGAATATTTTGTCCCAGGAAGATTCAGGACACTGAAAAGTAATTAATAAGTATACAGAGTGGTTCTAGCAAACAAGTTGCTTACGTCTAGGACGAATCCTACTTCTGGATTGACTGCAGCATTGGAAACTAGAATATCTAAGCCACCTAGTTTTTTGGCCTAGGTATAAAACAGATTTATGAATATAATGTCTTTAGGGGAATTAGGAGTTTTAATACCTCTTCAAATAATTTCTGTCTGTCCTCCTTTTTACCTACGTGACAAACTAAACCACTTACATTTAAACCTTCACTGGTTAGCTTTTTAGTAGCTTCAGCTACATTTTTCTCTTTACGACTACTTACTATTACCTTGGCACCTTCTCTAGCTAATCTCTGAGCAATTGCAAAACCAATTCTACAAATATAGTTTCAGAAAACAGCTATTTGATAGTTTGTGTAACTTACCCATCAGTTGAAGCTGTTACGATAGCTATTCTGCCAACTAAACGATTTAGATTTACAGACATTTTTGTAGCTGGAATAATTAATAAAGCTCAAAGGTCATTATTTATCTTTTATTGCGCTTAATTTATGTAGTTATCACATCACAATTTTGTATTTTGCCTTTGCATACTTTTTGATTGAGTGGTTACATTCAAGATGGCGTGGCGGTCACACATGAGCCAAACTGCCCAAACTTCATTTTGTCTGCTAATTTTTCGAAGTTTCTTAGTTCTATGTGCTCTAAAGTATATTATTTATAAGAAGTAAATCTGTTAAGTCTTTTTCCTGATAGTTCATTTAAATGGGGCAAAAATTCTGAAGTGGGCATGCTTGGAACCCTGTAAGTTTGAGACACGTTGTCCCTTTCTTGGAGGCTGCCATACTTAATGGGTTACATAGGTACCTAGGCATCACATATTTTATTAAATAATCAAAATCAAACTTGCAAGCAAAACTTGAATCAAAATAACTTAAAATACGTATAAAAACACATTCAAAATAAACTTGCTTGGCCGCCACGCCATATTGAATTTTGTCATCATAACCTCTAAGTTTCACCACTTTCCACTTTCTTCAACCAAAAAAGATGCTTTCCAGAAATAATAAAATAATAATATGTAAGAATTCCCCTTAGTTAATTTAATTTGAATATTCATTAAATTAATTCTAGGTCTTTCACAATGCAGAAATTTAAGTTTCACAAGGCCCACCTTACTAAATCAAAAACTACGTAAAGAAAGAGGTTTACCGTTGAACCCCAACGCCTCAGGAGCCCTAACCGATAGCCCCGATTTCAGCTATCTAGATGGTCGTATCACCCCATTAGGCCAGGGCCAGAGGAAGCGAATTGTAAGAAATCAAGAGGCCAAAAATCAAATAATAACTTTGAGCCGGGAAATCGATTTTGCCATTGAAAGATACAAGCGGTTGCAGATTGAGGCTAGCGAGGAGAAAAAGGCTATTTTGGATAGGAAGTTGAAGCCTAAAGGAGCTGCTTTATTGGAATATAGCAATAATAATTGATAAATGATGCACATATTTTATAATAGCTATTAGTTAAATAATTATTATTAAAACTCAAAAATGCTTTTACAAATAAAATTATTTGATTTTTTCCATTTGTCTCCTATCTTTAACTTTCAACTTTTTAGCTCTCTTTTGAATGTGTTTCTCCAATCTATTACTCTTCTTGAGTTCTTCATATTTTTCTACTAATCCTTGCAATTTCTTCACTGATTTTTTAATGTAAACTGGTTTTTCGCCTTGCTTGATTGTCTCTCTAATTTGTCTTTTTTCAGCATAATCCCTTGCTTTTGCCTTGTTTGTTTTCTCTTCTTCCCTTACTTTATTTTCAGTTCTTTGTATTAGCAACTTGATTGTCTTTTTTCTCTCAGGGTCTTTGACTTCATTGAGTTCTTTTTGCAAGGCAAGTTTTTCCTTTTGCCTGAGTTCATTGACAAACTCGTAATTTTGCTTGAAAGTTTCTTTATCAAATTCTCCACAAGAAGGATCAAATCTTGGATCTCTTGCACTTGATTTTATTGTGGTAGTAGAATTTCTTGTTAAAATACTTTTGACTTGTTTCATTCTGATTTTTGAGCTGATTTCTCTAGGCCTGTTTTTGTTTTGCCTTTTAATCTCCTTTTTGTTGGTTGATGTTGAAGGTGCTCCATGTACTGTTGCATTATAAACTTTTGAGCCAACTTTTTCTTTTAGTTTAATGAGCTCTTCAAAACTTAAAGTTGAAAGATTATCTCGGATTTGTTGCCGCTGAAAGTCTTCAGTATCAGACATTGCTTGTTTCTACCAAATCAACTTTGCTTTTGATTATATGGACAGCTGGTAAAATATGTTCAGTGCACTTACACTTGTTGCCTGATATAAAGTCGAAGGCCCCAAATCTTGAGTCGCAATGAGGGCAATTCAATCTACCTCTGGTCCAGTGTAGTTCTTCAATTTTTTCAGCTATCCAAGGAGGCAGGAAATCTTCACTGAGGAAGATTAAATTGTCTTGACAATTTGGGGCTTTTTCACTTAGAGGCAAATTGTGGACGTTAAATAGTTTTATTTGCAATTGAGAATCTTTTACAATTAATTGCCTGCACTTTCTACATTTGATTTCATACAACAGCATGTTTACATTATTTTTGAATTTGGGTGAAAATAAGTGAGGTTAGGTTATGAATGCTAATCTTTTCATCAACTGGATTAGTAACTATCTCTTTTTATTTTAATGTATTAAAGCGAGACAAAAAATAACTTTTTAAGAAATAAGAGTTTGACGTTTGACAACAAATAAATGACAGTTTCTTCAATTTATTTATTTATTTATATTGTCATTTTCTATAAATAAATTATATAATAATTATTTTTATTTTTATTTATTCAATAATTAGTATTCTAAAGACACATTTAACAATTAATAAATTGCCTTGAATTATAATAATTATAATTGTCTTGGGGCCAAAAATAAGACCACCACCCAGAAATCTAGAAAAAAGTGAAAACGCCCCACAGCTTGTATCCTGACTTTCCCTAGCTATGGAAGATATTTTCCAGTGGTGCAAAGAAGGCAATGCCCTTACCGTAAGGGTCTGGCTGGACGAGCCCGAACACGACATGAATCAAGGGTAAGTTTTTCCATAAGCAAAACAAGGTCAAATACCTTATATGGTATTGTTTATATCTTCTCAGGGATGACCACGGTTTTAGCCCTTTGCATTGGGCTTCTATGAAGGGCCACATTAAAATTGTAGAGATGCTTTTGCTTAGAGGTGCCCGTGTTAATGCCACAAACAGAGGCGATGATACTCCATTGCATTTAGCCTCTGCCCACGGCCACAGAGAAATTGTTGCAATGGTAAGTCTTTATTAATAATTAACTACCAACAAATCCTAATTGATTTTTGCCAGCTTTTGCGTCAAAGAGCTGATTTAAACTTCACCAATGAGCATGGGAACTCACCCTTACACTACGCATGCTTTTGGGCCTACGTTGGCATTGCTGAAGACTTGGTGCACCATGGAGCCAAAGTCTCTATTGCCAACAAGTACGGCGACACACCCTTGGACAAAGCCAAAGGCAATTTAGCAAAAATCCTCCACGACATTGCAGTTGAATCTGGACAAGACTTAAAAAAAATCAAATTCAAAGATCAGAGTTGGCTGGGGATGAAAACGCGTTCCAGGGATGCCACATTGTCGCGTCACAAGGGCATCAATTTCAAAGAACTAGACTTGAAACAGAAAATTGGTGAAACTCACAGTGGTACCACTTACAAGGGCCGTTGGCAAAACAATGATATTGTTGCCAAAATTTTAAACATCAGAGAAATAACTGCCAGAATCTCGAGAGACTTCAACGAGGAATTTCCAAAACTCAGAATATTTTCTCATCCCAACATTTTGCCTGTCATTGGGTGCTGCAACCATCCTCAAAACCTAATAGTCATCAGCCAGTACATGCCTTTAGGCTCATTGTATGATGTTCTACACGAGAGCAGTGGGGGCATTGTGGTGGACACCGCACAAGCTTTAAAATTCGCCATAGACATTGCCAGAGGCATGGCGTTTTTGCACAGCTTAGAACGCACCACTCCAGAATTTTTTCTGCACAGTCGTCACATTGTCATTGAAGAAGATTTGACTGCAAGGATTAATATGGCTGATGCCAAGTTTTCTTTCCAGGAAAAGGGCAGGATTTATTATCCGGCTTGGATGTCACCTGAAGCTTTACAGAAGAAAATTACAGATAGGTAATTATGAGTATAATGTATACTTTAATGAACATTTAAGTCTTTTTTAACTATGCCTGGTCAAAATTAGACTTCTTTGGATCATTTTGTGCATTAGGAGACTTGAAAATAGAATTTTTATTATACTTACCTGAAAACACTTCTTTTTCACCTGTCTTTACAATAAAGGAAAGGTGACATTTCCAGAACAGTGCACGGAAATTTTTTCCCGATCTCTATTTCCGTGCGCTAAACAGATTAAACGTCAGTCAATATTGCATCCTTGTCATTAATTAGAAATTAATAGTTATTATTTATTATACAAGACGGTAAAATAGTAGATTATACCACGAGTCAATAATGATAGCTATTATTCCCGAGGATTATTACGAACTGAGCCGCGTTAGCGGCGAGGGGAGTAACATTCCGAGGGAATAATAGCCATTATTGCGAGTAGTATACTCTACTTTATTTACGACAAATTAATTTATTGAGATTTTCAATGAACAAATTTCATCCGTCTCATAATTTTCAATACAAATCCACAAGCACTACACATTTGACACTGACACTTTTGTGGAATAATGACCATTAATCCCGCTACGCGTCATTAATCCCTGGAGGAATACCATATGTCATTATACTGCCAAAATCACAAATATAATACGCACATTATACATTAGTCGTAAATAAAGATGCTTTATTAATGGAGTTATGTTTTTTTTAAATAATGATATTTTGTAAAGTAAAACTTTACAAATAATTTTTTCACTCAAAAAATAAAGTGATTAGAGAATTGAAAGTTTGAGGACTTTTCCTAAAGGGTCAATGCTCGGGTCAATGTAAAAAATACTAGAAACAGTGGAAAGTTGAAATTTTGAGGACTATTTCCTAAAGGTTCAATATAAAAAATACTAAAAACTCAAAACGATTGAGTTATTATTATTGGAGTTGATTTTTGTTTAAATAATGATGTTTCAAACCGCCCTTGTTTTCCAGTTAAAGTGACTTCAACTTCAACTGTAGAATGATCCCATTCAAATCCTAGTTCTGCTAATACAATATTTTTGTAGTAAAATTCAATAAATAATTTCCAAAGTTTTTACAATTTCCAATTCCAACCATTAAGTATCCATTTAAATAACAAAATCAATTTTTTCTTGTGTATAGAAATTGGGAAGCATCAGACATGTGGAGCTTTGCCATACTACTCTGGGAACTCGCAACAAGAGAAGTACCATTCCCGGACCAAAGTCCAATGGAAGTGGGCATGCGGATCGCCTTGGAAGGTCTCAGGATCAGCTTGAAACCTGGAATATCCCCACATTTGGCCAAATTGATCAAGATTTGCATGAACGAGGACCCAGGCAAGAGGCCCAAATTTGACATGGTCGTACCTATTCTGGATAAAATGACCCGTTGATTTTTGTGGATTTTTCTTATTTAATGTGTTCAATAATTTTTTATGCTGCTTTGTTATTTGGTAGCCAGACATACTTACAATTTATAAGTAACAAATAATTATTAAACTGTACTATTTTTGATATTTATATAGTAATCTGAGTGCCTTATACTGCTTATAATATTTTTTTTTGTAACAAATGTGATTGTATTGTGTCCGTTTTATATATGTTAATTTATTAATTTGTAGTTTTAATAAATTTTATTGATTAACAAAATATTGAGTTTTTGTTCTATACAGGGTGATTGATGGTCGATGGTAGGTTAGACGTTTATGAAAAACGGAATGTTGGATATTTTTGAAAATTTGCATGCCCAAGTAATTGCTCCTGATCTATCTTTCTAAAATCATTTCAACGATGCGACGTTGCCGCTTATACCAAAAAGTAATATGAACTTTGAAATTTTAAATGAGACACCCTGTATATTATTGTATTTTTTGCTCCGCTATTACTTTCTGATCATTTTTGTATAATACTGTCCTATACCTATCTCTAGTGATTTTCGACTAATTAATTAATTTCTTTTTTTTTTTTTTAAATATTGCTCTAGTTAAATCTGTATTACTACGTCTCTGAGATTCGAAGAAAGTTTAAATTTTGGAGATAACTTAGGGAGGTCCTGCATATTACTTTTGAGCAAGAAAATTTGTTCTACATTATACAGGGTTGGTCAAAATTAGTAATTGTGCTGCCAGGTACAAAAAAGATGAAAACTGCACTTTTTTAAATAGAACACCCTGTATATTATGAAATATTATGAAAGGCAATTAAAATCCCTTACAAATGATGTATCATGTTCCTATAGGTATAGGAACCTTACTAGTTAGGTAACTAGTAAGGTTTCGGAAATACAGGCAAGATTCTGTAAGAATTGGATTATTTAAAAATTATGTCTTATTAAATATCAGTAACAAGTGTGTTAAATGAACTTTTTTCCACGAATGTGACGTGCGACAATCACATGAGTAAAAAAAGGTACTGTACACACTCATTGCATACAAAGTTTTTTCTATTATCGATAAAATATTTGAGAAAAATAAATTTAGGCAAATACTTCATGCACTAGTGCGTGAAGTAATTTACCAGAAAAATAATAAATTGACAGTGTCTACATCTGTCATTAACATTACTTTATGCACTAATGTGTGAAGTGAAATTTAACGTCTTCGTAATATTGCATAAAGTGAGTACTTTACGTGAGATAGTAAAAAAAATACTGTTACAACCTATTTTGTTGCAACTGGAGGTTTGGGATCTTTTTTTTCCTTGGATTGGATTATTTCGGGATATTTTTCTAATGGCGTTTCCAATTAGTAGATTTAATTCACACTGAGTATATTTTCATCTCTTTCTCTCAGCCTGTTGTAAAAACAGATAGAAATATTTTTCTTTACACTCATTCTACCAACCCGAATCGCCATTTAATAGTTATGTCACGATGAAACATATTAGGTAATTCAAACGACACAAACCACATGATTTTCTAAAATGGCAGGTGATTGAAACAGTTCATTGATTGGAACCATGGTTATTATCTAGGATTAAAAACAAATGCATAAAATGGTCCACTTTTTAGAATACCTATGTGATATGCAAAAATATTGTCATTGTTTTGTTTTTGTCTCTTTCCTACTCACGGTGTTTTTGACAGTTCAATAAATCCAATGACGTCATAAAAGTCTTCGGTATTATAGGCATCTATGGAAGTTGTCCATACATTTTACCATGACTATTACCCTCCTGGTAATTTTGACCAATCAGAAGTTATAATATTAGTGTCAAAAATTATTTTTAATTAAAAAAATTGCCTGCCATCAGCTGTCATCAAAATTATTTTGTTTTTTTCCATGGCAAAACTCTACAAAACGTAAAAAAGAAGAAATCTGCAGTCAAATTGTAGCAAGAGCAAGAATATGCAAAAAATTCAACGAAATGTACCCTGATTTAAGACCAATGAATTAAGGAAAATTTGTTCGGACACAATAGTCATTTGTATACCAAGGCCGCGAAATACCTTTTTAGCGTACGTAGAAAAAAGTTATCGCTGAGGCCGTTTGCGACCGAGGCGAGCGGCTGAGGTAAGATACTCTCAAGTACGCTGAAAAGTTTCGCGGTCATGGTATACACACTATATTTTTTGTGCAACTATAAAAATTATGTAAAGTTACAGAAAAACTGTATGAATTTGACAAGGATTTGGCAAAGATTTGGCAAATTTTGCGCGTCAAGTGTGGCGGCCGCGAAATTGAATTTTGCGGACGGTTGCACAAAAAATAACTTTATACAATTTGGTTCAAAACTTAAGAATGCACCAAGTTTAACTAAGCCTGTAACGTCTGATGAAGAAACAGCGTGAATGTTTCAGCCTACTTTCACGCATATCCCCAAGCTTCCAACCGAACTGCAGCAGGTGATATTTAGGCCTGAGCTATTATTATGTCCAGAAAATTTTTAACGATCATAATATGCATCCCTTTAAATTCACAAAAGTTCAACAGCTGAAACTGGATGATTACCCACGTCAAATTCGATATTGAGAGACACTTTCTGACACACACTTATGGAGTATCTAAACTTTCTAAAAAAAATTAATATGGACCGATGAGGCTAAATTTTCTAGAGAAGGTATTTTTAATAGGAGAAATCAACACTTTTGGGTTAATCAGAATCCACATGCGGTCAAGGAAAAAAAGATCCTAAACTCCCAGTTGCAACAAAATAGGTTGTGACAGTATTTTTCCTACTACCTCACCCACACTTTATGCACTATTGCGAAGACGTTAAAGGATAACGCACAGTTAACATGGGATTTTTGGGCTTTATGGATTTCACCCATTTTTTGATATGTTGTAGAGTAGAGGATTTAATTCTTAACAATCTTTAAATGGCACGAAATCTTGTAGGTATTACGGTCTTTGAGATATGAGCTTTGAAAGATGAACTTTTTTGCAACTTTTTGTGTGGAGAGTATACGAAAAACTGGTGTTTATCAGTCAAAATTTTGACAGGTCGACATATTTCACGTCACTAACAAATATCAACATAGGCTAAGGCCGGGACCGCACTGGCGCCAACATTGACCCCAGTGCGGCCTCGGCCTTAAGCTATAGGTTGACATTAATTTTTGAGTGACGTAAAATATGTGAACCTGTTAAAATGTTGACTGATAAACACCAGTAGCACCAGTATCTCGTATACTCTTCACACAAAAAGTCGCAAAAAAGGTAATCTTTCAACGCTCATATCTCAAAGGTCGTAATGCCTACAAGATTTCGTTTCATTTAAAGGTTGTTCAGGTATTTTGCCGCCCTGGGCAATGAGTAAATTTGCCGCCCCATCCCATGGCCTGCTTAGGGAAAATGTGATCTTAAATTGTAGAAACAAAAAATAATTATACGAAACAGGAAGGCATAGCATCATAGCAATAAAACCACATACTATATTATGTAACTTAGGTAATCACACAAATAAAAACTAACATAAGAAAACAGGAAACATAACAAACAAAGTAAGAGTCAGCCAATCCAAGCTCTTGGCAACAATCAGCAGATACATTATGTAGATATACCCTAATAGCACAGGAACGTTTCAAAAAATTATCCTATCGGACGTCAGAACGTTTTAAAAACGTCAGTGAAAGTAATTGATGACGTTTCCGATTGGTAGATCTAGTGCGGAACTAGTGCAATTTTTTCTATTCCTGTCTTTTTCTTCTACAGGTCGATTAAAAGGATGCAAATACACTGAATGCGCACTGAATCTACCAATCGGAAACGCCATGAGAATATCCAAAGGTTCATTTTTATTTGGTGCAAATGTCACTTCAAACGTCATATAGACGTCGAAAATGAGCGTTTCAAAAATACTTTAATACGAACGCTTAAAAACGAAAAAGGACGTTTTTCAAAGATCTCTATATGAACATTCACTGGAGTTCCTTTAAAGTATCCAACACCGCATCCAATAGACTTATTTTATAGGTAGTGCAAATATCACAGTTACAAACAACCTTTTATAAACGTCTTATTCGAACTAATTTCCTGACATGTGGAAGTGGGATACATGTTTCCAACGGAACCAACAGAAACCTTTATAAAACGTCTCTCATGACTTCTCATGAAAACATACTTTTACGAACTCGTAGAAGAAACATTCTGACGTTCTTTAATTGTTCCTAACAGAAGTTTTGAAAACAGCTCAATCAAACGTCTAATGAACATCCTTTCTTTACCTTTTTAAAAACACTCGGACATGGACATTACCACGTGCAGAAACAGTAGTTTCCAAAACTTTTCTTTCAGAACTTTATGCTTATATGGACATTTCGTGAATATATTTCGAACGTCTCTTTTCGTCGTTTTTAAAAATGATTTTGTGCAAACATTTATACAACGTTCTATTTCAGTCCTCGGATGTTTCGACGTTAAACAGACACGTCCATCGTACCTTTTGTGGCATTAGGGTAAGTAGGTACATTTTCAATAAAATCATTGGGATATTATCTAAGATATTATCGAGCGTTGAATGCAGCAAAATCTTCAAGTAGATGATTCATTTTTAATTTAGCATTGATTTCATGCTCAATAGCAATCATTGCTAACATGCTCAGTGCTTACCTTTTCTTGGCCAAGATGATATTGAATACGATTTCATTAATTTTAATTTAGAGAAACTTTTCTTAACACTTGCAAGAGTTATGGGCAATGGTAGTAAAATTCTGAGGATCTGAGGGCCACAACAACATTCGGTGCAATATCCAGTTGAAGTGCTAATTTTAACACATCAAAAGGATTTTGCTGGGCTCCTGTAACGTCTATCACAGATAATTTATCAGCTAATTATGTCACATTGACATCGAAAGAATTGTCATGCATGAGAACATACATATTATAAATTTTTGCAATATACCGATAACTCTTCTACACCTTTTCCATAATAAGTATTTCAGAATGTATCACTTGTATTTCAGATTCATCAATTCTAGTTCAGAATGCGTCAATTGTATTCCAGTTGTGTAAGTTTAATTTCAGAAAGTGTTATTTGTATTTCAACTTTGTCATAGTTGTAGTTCAGAAATAGTTATTTTTCTACAAACTTCACTAAAAGTGTCATTTTTAACGGATGCTGTCAGTGTCTAAAATGCCATTTTATGACACTGGTGTTAAAAGTGATTACCTACTTTTAGCACTAGTGCTAAAAGTAATCACTTT